AGAAGAGCTATGGGTAATCTTGGGCTTGCTTTGCTTGCATGTAAAGGAGCTTTGTGGGGTATCACAGGAATGGTTGGGGAGCAGCAGGAGGAGCCATGGCAGAGCTGGGCATGAGCACCGGAGCCCCCGTACCCCGTGCAAACAGCACCCCTGCTCTCCCTGGGGACCGTACATGTTTGCGCCAGGGCTTCTCGGTCCAGCCCAGCCTTTGCACCTTCTGCAGAATGAAGTGGCAGCAGGTCCCAGCAGGACGGAGGCTGGGAGCCCCTGTGGCTAGGTTGTTGCTATGGGGAGTGGGTCAGGGGTGTTCAAGTGGCCGGATGTAGGTTGACTGTGGTCAGGAAGGGGCGTTAGAGAGTTGGAGCAGGGAGCAGAGGCCTATCCTCTGCCAGGCGTGTGTGCAGCTAGAAGGAACCAGAGTGTCAGATCAGTCATGGAATAGGGGGCAAGGGTCCTGGATAGGAGGGTAAGTCCCAACCTGGGGACCTCAAGCTGTGCCTTCGCCTGGGAACGTGTGATAACTTAGTTATCCCCAAGGGTGCAGTGTGCACATTGGGGATCACCCCAAGGAAGACAAGAGCGATTGCCTGGCTGGTGGGGGGCGCAGTGAAGAGTATGTGTGGGGATGGTGTGGAAGGGTGGTTGTTGATGACAACAGGTCACGGGTTGGGATTCTGGCACGTGGGCCCAGACTGGACCTTGGAAGAGGTCTTGCTTCTTAGCTGGATTTCCATGCTTCTTCTAGAATTAGCCTCTAACACTTAAGTGCCCAAACCAAGCATGGACATCTTTGTGATGTGTTTCAACTTTATCTATTTGTTTTTGGGCGCTCCTCAGACCCGTAGCCTGGAGACTTGTCTTAGATGCCCATCTATTCACCAGCTCTTCGTCAGTAGAGAAGAAAGAGTCGTTCTGTGTTCTGACGGCAGATGAAGCAGGTTGTCTCCCTGCCGTGTCTGTGATCTGAAAATGTTCCCGAAGCAGTGGGGTGGCTATGGAGAGGAGGGACTGGGCCTGACTGGGGCATGGCCTTTCTTCCTGAGATCTAGAGGCTTCCTTTAGGCATAAAGCTGCAGAGTGGCTTTATATCTAGGGTCTGTCTTCACATTCTCTTCTTTTGGTTGGATAAAGTCACCAGTTTGTGGTTGATGGAGTTGC